CACCCAGGTGAGAGGCTCACTGCTGGGCCAGGCTCCAAATCACTCGCTCTATTTGTTAGTTTCTGGCATCAAAAAGGCTCAAGAGAATTTTCTTTCTTTTTTTTTTTTTTCCTTTTTTTTCTTGTCTTTTTTACTGACCGGTAACGGGATCGCAACCCTCAGTGTTGCGCCTGCACCGCGCTCAGCCAGTGAGTGGGAACCGGTCTCCACATGGGATCCGAACCCTCGGCGGGAGCGCCGATGCGCTCCCAAGCGGCGCACTCTCCAGTGCGCCACCGGGCCAGCCCAAGAGAATTTTCTTGTGAGGGAAATATGATTGGCTTGGCTTGAGTCAGGTGACCTATTTCTGGACCAATCAGTTGTGGTCAAGGAGGTGGGTATCAGAGGACCAACATGGCAACACCCAGGCTCTGCACCAGAGAGCTGTTGTCAGAGGGGCAGTGGGCCTGGCACCTGGTCCCAGCAGGCTTGCTTCCTTCCCTCTTCCTGGGTATCCCATCCCCCACCTTCCGTGTGCACACAAAACCCTGCTACACCCATTTTCCCACTTATGGAGTTAGATGAGGCCTGAGTTCAAATCCTGCCTCTGCTGTTTTCCTAATGGTCTGCTCTTGGGCAAGTGACTTCACTTCTCTGAGCCTCAGTGTTCTCATCTGTAAGTGGGCACATAATACCAACCTCTTAGGGATGTGGGCAGAGTCGACTGACATAATGACCCAGGTAAAACTCTTCAGTGGACATTTTCAGGGTCAAGTTCAAACTCAACATGTGAATGGCTGGCACCTGCTGAATTTTCTGGCCCATATCCTCTCATTCCCAGAGTGCCCCCTTCTGTAGCCACACCCGGCTGCTTGTAGCTCCTCGAACTTCTCTGCTCTGTACTTCTGCTGATATTGTTCCCTCTGCCTGGGATGCCTTTCCTTCTCTTCCCTCACCTAACCTGGCTTACTTGCTCCCTGAAGAGGCTTGATTTCTGTCCCTCCAAAAGATATGTCCACGTCCTAACCCCCTGAACCTGTGAATGTGACCTTATTTGGAAACAGGGTCTTTGCAGATGTAGTAAAGTTAAGGATCATCCTGGATTTAGGGTGGCCCTAAATCCAATTACTGGTGTCCTCTTAAGAGAAAGGAGAGGAAAATTTGGGATACAGAGATAGAGGTGAAGGCCATGGGAAGAAGGAGGCAGAGATCGGAGTGATGTGCCTACAAACCAAGACACACCCAAAATCGCCAGCAACCACTGGGTGCTTGGAGAGAGGTATGGAGCAAATTCTCCCTCAGAGCCTCCAGAAAGAACCAACCCTGCCAACAGAATAAATTTCCGTTGTTTTAAGCCACCCAGTTTGTGGTAATTTGTTATAGTAGTCACGGAAAACTAATATTGTACTCAAAAATGTAGCTCAGACATCCCCTGGTCTCCCTGACTCCTCACCTGGACAAGATGCCCAGAGTCCATGTAGGGCTTTCTCCTACCACTTATCACAGTGCCTGCGATCAGCAATACACCTGTGTGCCTCCCCCTCCAGGATGTAAACTGAAGGGTGGGGACTCACGGGTATCTTTGACTCTAGATTACAGCAGCCTCTCCCAGAGGAGTCCATAATCTAACAGGCCTCAAAGGTGTCAACAAAAGATGATACTCCAGTGGTTGGATTCTAGGTGGCAGCTCACAGGTGTTTGCAGGAAGGAGTCTATTTTGGGATACTTACCTAAAAGAAACTGAAGCTGAACATACAAAACAGGATTTATTGAGCCATTATAACAATTGCAACCAGGGAAAAGCATAGGTCAGGTCGCCCTGAGAAATGAGTTCTGAAGGGGACCAGCAGAGCTTAGCATTTGATAATCACAGAAAAAGAGAAGAATCAAAGGGGAGAGAGAAAAGGACAGCCCCCTTATCATTACATCCGTTTTTCTATTGGTTGTACATGACGTATAGATTTGGGATTGTTACTAGTTTACATCCTGCATGCAGGGATCTAGGGTAAGGGTTACAAGAAGCATTCTGGGATATTTTATTACTTCATTTGCCCATCTGTCTGCCTGTAAGTCAAAATGGTCTCATGATAACATTTTCCAGGACACAGGACGTGACTACTGGCTTATCCCAAATCTCCCAAGGCACTACAATTTAGCTGATCTGGTTGGAGCAGAATTTTTTAGTTATCAGGGAGATTGGGTTCCTCTCCCCTTCTCAATCAATGACTATGTACCTACTCCCAGGTATAGGCACGAGAGGGCCCTCCCTGGGGGTTATAAGGTGGGTTTGTCCTGCCCTAGGGTCACCTGAGATGTGCCCGCCTGCCTTCTCTTTAACTATCTTACTGATCTCTGTGAGAATTTTTTTTCTTTTTCTTATTGAAGCATCATTGAGTATACATATCTGTCGAGTATAGAGTTGAATATCAATACCTGTGTGCAATGTGTGATGATCAAATCAGGATAATTAAAATACTCATCATTACAAAACACAATCACTCTTTGTGCCCACTAACCAATTTCTTGCTAACCCCCTCCCCTTTCCCACCTCTAGTAACCACAGTTCTGTTTTCTCCTTCTGAAAGTTCAACTGTTATCGTGATTCTTTCTTTTTCTTTCTTTCTTTCTCTTTCTTTCCTCTCTCTCTCTCTCTCTTTTTAGCTCTCTCTTATGAATGAGGACATGTGGTATTTCTCTCTGTGTGCCTGGCTTATTTCACTTAACATAATTTTCTCCAGGCTTATCCATGCCTCTGTGTTCACACTGGCAGCTCAGATGGAAAATGACTCCAGGCAGGAATGTGGCCATGTCAGAATAACCAAGGTACAAAGGGATTATTTAATTAAGTTTGTTCTTATGGAAAATCCTCTTTGCAAGGGCCTTCCCCTGGACAAGGCCAATTGTCTCTGGCAGGGCTGGAGCAGCCCATGGCTTGTTGCCCACTATTTTCTAGCTTCTTGGTGTTCCTCCTTGCCGTGGAGACCGGGGGCACCCAGTGGCCCATCCCGTGGCCCTGCTCTGAGTCTTCTTGGCACCAAGGCTGAGTCTACCCTGCTTCCCTCAAAACTGTCCTTGGGTAGTTGGAAAGGTGGCCGCAGCCTCAGTTGCCTCCTCAATATGGGAGAACTCATGTGGCAAAGAGAAATCTCCAGACTGGGAATTTGGAGAAGTGGGGCTGACCTCCTGTTCCTAGAAGAAACAGAGAATGAGATGTGGGGCTCTGATGTTCCAACAACCTGCCCAGCCACTCACAGGCTGTGTGGCAGGAGGAGGAGGGGGAGCAGGAGGAGCAGGAACAGGAGGAGGAGGGGGAGGAGGAGTAGGAGGAGGAGCAGGAGGAGCAGGACGAGGAGCAGGAGGAGGAGCAGGAGGAGGAACAGGAGCAGGAGCAGCAGGAGGGGGAGCAGGAGGAGAAGGAGCAGGAGGAGGAGGAGCAGGAGGAGGAGGAGCAGGAGGAGGAGCAGGAGGAGCAGGAGGATCAGGAGGAGGAGCAGGAGGAGCAGGAACAGGAGCAGGAGGAGGAGGAGCAGAGCAGGAGGAGGAGCAGGAGGAGTAGGGGGGAGCAGGAAGAGCATACATAATTAAAAGAAAAAACACTGCCATCCGTACTGATATAATGCTTTCTCCTTTTTATTTGGAATGTATTAAAGACCTCTTTTAGACTTATTGAGATGTAGATTTTAATCATCATTCTCGTGCCTACATTGAAGGGAAATATAAGGGAGATAAATGATATATTTCCTTGAGCATCTTCACATTTGGATCCAACTCTTCTGAATTACTTTCTCCACTGAGTCACCAGTATCTGAGTTTTTCCACCAGAAGATGGTTTCTCTGTTGTTTCCAGAAGTTTCCACCAAGCTGCTGACACCCCAGCTGTGCATTTTGATGTGCTTGTGTGTGGGCAATGACACCTCCCTCAAGCCCACTGCCCAGTGTGGAAAGATGAAAAAACACCTCTCAGATTTGATAAGAATAGCGGTTATTACCTGAGAAGTATTTCTTGAGAGGATGAATGTATGAATGAGTGAACGAGTGATGAGTGAGTAGGAAAGTTAATTACCTGAACCTAAGAGAAAAGGCTCCAGAGGAAGTCACTGATGGATGAAATGATACAAATTAGAGCCTCATTTTTTTTGCTTCAACCAGAAGTTCTCAGTGGAGCAACTGTACCTCAGGGGACTTTGGCAATGTGTGGAGACATTTTTGGTTGTCACAACTTGAGGGGAGGGTGCTACTGGCATCTCGTAGGTAGAGATCAGGGGTGCTACCCAACATCCTGCAATGCACAGTCTCCCCTTACTGCCCCTCCTCCTGTCCCTAGCCTGGGCATGGCACCCCTCACAGGGCAGCCCCGATGGGGCTGACTCCACAGTGTGACTCAGAGCCACCAACATCATTTGCAAAATGAACCAGTGGGCCCCTTGTTCGACAATTACTATGAGTTTCAAGATAGCAACAGCAAACCAAGCACGGGTCCCTTCTAAGCAACTGCACAGGCTGTCTGCTCTGGAGCTGGCCCTGGTGGGACTTGGGCTGCCTCAAGGGCCCCCGGGGGGATGGCACCAAAGTCACCCTCCATGGCTCTTGATCCCTAACCCTGGCCGTCCTCTCTTCCCATCCCTCTTCTCCACTCCCCTGCCAGTTTTGCACAGGAACCATCCTAATAAATTGCTTTCAGAGGGGCTGCGTCAGAGGCAGGTGGCTCTGATACTCCCGGGTTCCAGCAGCAGAGCTGAGCTGACACCTCATCCAACAACACCCACCCTGCCTCCAGCCCCCAGGATTTAACAGTGACACAGTGTTACACATCACCAGGGACTGAGCATTGTACTTTATTGCTCTTGTTCCGTAGCCTCCTCCCACCCTCTGCTAACATTTAGTCTTCAACACATCCAATTTAAGATCATCAGGTCAAAACTATGAATCATGCACGGCTAACGAAGTTCATTTCCATTTTATGATAAATGAAGTTATTTTGAGGACATCTGGGATGGGTACATGCTTTCCAGAGTCAGACCCGGATGAAATCTGTAAAAAAACAACCAAGATGCTGAATTGTCTTAGAAAACGGCTTCAAAAATGCTCACGAAGGCGGTGCCTTCTTCCCAGGGTAAAGATCTTGTGGCACTGCAAGGCTTTGTTTCCAGGATGGTGAAATAGGGACCCAGAGCTGCTCGGTGGCTCCTACAAAGTCACCCATCCTAGGGCCATGTTGGGACTGAAGCCCAGTGTCCTGTCTCTAAGGATCTCCGGGACCATGCTCTGCTGAGCTGAGCATGATCTCTGGGGGGTCCAATCATTTTTCCCAACTGTTTCCAAGGCTTAGCAGGAAGTGGAGGAGTTTTCTTGCAAATTGGCTGAAAAGAAAGCAAAGAAGAAGTGAACGTGAGCTGCTGCTGGGGCAGAGCGTGGGATTACGCCAGGCAGAGCCCCGGATAACGCCGGATCACAAATCTGTTTCATCCTCTTCCTCCTCCCCCACCAGAAACACCAGAAAGATGTCAGTTTCCACCCAGATTAAATTCTTAATTCACTGTCAAGTCTTTATGGAGTGTCATCTTGTTTAGTCCCCAGCTCATCCCCCACCATCATTCCATTATAAAGATGAGGAAACTGAGGCTTGGAGAGTTGAAGTCGTTTGTTTAAGGTCACAGAGTGGAGCAAGAATTGAAACCCAGGCCTGGCTGGCTCTGAAGCCAGCACTTCTGAAAACTATCCTAAACTGTCTCTCAAGGTCTCATTCTTACCCACTGGTCCCTGGACTTCCCTGTGAGAAGTTCATTGTCCTCAGTGGCATCAGACTCGCTCCAGGGACAGTTCCTGTCATCAGCAGGTAATAGACATGCTGGCATCAGTCCTGGAGGACTCAGCCCTGAATATTCTGGAATCTGAAATCTGACCTTTGCCTTTTCAGAACATCCTGGGATAGTCACCTGCTTTCAAGGGCTTCTATCTGCCGTGTAGACCCGCAGCCGTCACAGGGGCTGGGTGGGCTTTTGAGTGTACTGGCTGAGACGCTCTGGTTGCTGCGAGCCCTCAGCCCTTCACATGCACCTGCACCTAGCCTCAGAGACCACCTGAGAGCCAAGCCTGTGCCTCACCTGGAACCCCCTCTGCAGCCAGCCTCCCCACGGTCCTTCTGTCCCCACCCCAGGGGCCTCCCTCTGGTTCTGCAAAGCCAAGATCTCTTTCACCACGGGGCTTCTGCTCTTCCAGCAACTTCTGCCTGGTCTGCCCCAGGAAGTACCTTCTCATCTCCAGATCTTGGCTTAGATGTCACCTCTCCCAGGGACTTCCCTGACCCCCCCACTGAAGCAGCTTCCTGCCCCTGCCCAGTGACTCTGCAGCACGTCGTCTGTTCGATTTCTTCACACAGTTATTACGGTCCGTCACTTTTGGGTTGATTTACTTGCTGACTTGTTTAGTCTCCTCCTGCCAGGATGTAACTCCCATGAGAGCAGGGACTTTGTCGGGTGTGTTCACTGTGTCACCCCAGAACAATGCCTGGCATACAGTAGATATCCGTGAACTGCGGCCAAGCGACTGAGTTCCCAGGACCATGCCTATCAGAGAGTTGGCACTCCATAGCAGTACTGGACAGAAGTGGGGAGGGATGGGACGTAGGAGGCATTCTGGCAAGGACTGGAAAGGAAAGTTACGACCTAGGCCAGCCTGAGGTTTAGGTGCGGAGGGGTGCAGAGACGCTGCTGTTTCTGATCACCACAATGTTCTCCTACGTTCACTGTGAAACTAGAAGGGAATTTAAAAGTTCTACCAGCAGGTAAAGCCCTGATCTCAGCCTCCCACTGGGCCACCTGGTAATAAAAGCTGCCTGGACACCTGGCTGCCCAATTCCACCCCCGTCCATTGACTCGAACTTCCTCCCACACACCTGCCTGTTGCTGCTTTATTGAAAGTGCCTCTGTTGTCCCTTCCCAGGCTCTGCCACATTCTTCAAGTCACCCTCTGCAAAAAGAACACGACTCCGTCAGGGTAGGGATGTCTACTGCCACCCAGATGCCTCCCAAAGCTCTCCAGGGACTGCCGAGTGAAGTCCAAATGCCTCAGCCTGGCTGGTGCCCTGTGTTTATCCCCCTCCCCCCAATGGGACCACTCAATCCCCAGCTGCGGCCCCTGCCTCTCCTCCTGTCCCTCTCTCCTGTTCACCATGCACTCCAGCTGCAGGGACAGCCAAGTTGCTGCCAGCCCCAGCGTGTTCACACGTGCTGGCCCTTTGCTTGCTGGTTCTTACTCTTTAGGCTGTGTTTGCATGCCCCCTCTCAGGAAGCCCATTTTGACAAACCGGTGTGGTGTCTTTGTAGTATCCAGCATGTGATGTCAGTAGGACTCACCACTATTATCATGAAATAACCACCTGGGCCTTATTGAGGTTTGCATTTCCTGCTTGATATTAGCTGCATGGCCACAGCTGCGTGTTCATACATGCAAACCCAGCCTCCAGCACAGACTGATGAGTGATGCTTGGTAAATATGTGCTGTCAATTCTCGATAAAGACACATTTGATGGATGGATAGATGGAAGAATATACAGATGGAGGAATAGATGGACAGAGAAATGGATGGATGGAAGAATGGATGGATGGATGGATGGATGGATGGATGGATGGATGGATGGATGATTGGATGGATGGATGGGTGGATGGATAGATGGGTGAAAGGATAATTAGATGGATGGACGATTAGATAGATGGATGGAAGCCATATTTTCCAAGGCCCTGAATAAAAGTAGAAAGGAGTTGAGCACGTCCAGTCCCAGGTTCTGTGGTCAGCATGAGGCCACGTCTGCTGTGAGCTCATCTTTGGACCACACCTCCCCTGACCACCATAGACAACAGGGCTCCTACTTTATTTCTCAGTTCTAGTTCCCATTTTGTCCTCTATGAAGATACTTCAAAAGATTTATAGACAGATTTGTATTATCTTTTAATTCTATTTTTCTGTGAACTTAAGAGAATTAAAAAATAATACAAATCTTTCCATGAACTTTTTGGAGACTTAAATGGTTTCTCCTCTTACCTGGATATTCTTTGTAAAATTTATGTCGTAGGAATCGACCATCTGGAAAACAAGTGAGAAGATAAAACTCCAGAAGTTTATAAGTCCAAGACTGTTTTCATAATAACGCTACAGAATTATTTGCGTTTTGACATTCATTCTCCCACGAGTGTACGATGGAATTTTCCAGAGGCTATATGACNGTTTGCATTTCCTGCTTGATATTAGCTGCATGGCCACAGCTGCGTGTTCATACATGCAAACCCAGCCTCCAGCACAGACTGATGAGTGATGCTTGGTAAATATGTGCTGTCAATTCTCGATAAAGAAGACACATTTGATGGATGGATAGATGGAAGAATATACAGATGGAGGAATAGATGGACAGAGAAATGGATGGATGGAAGAATAGATGGATGGATGGATGGATGGATGGATGGATGGATGGATGGATGGATGGATGGATGGATGATTGGATGGATGGATGGATGGATGGATGGATGGATGGATGGATGGATGGATGGATGGATGGATGGATGGATGGATGGATGGATGGATGGATGGATGGATGGATGGATGGATGGATGGATGGATGGATGGATGGATGGATGGATGGATGGATGGATGGATGGATGGATGGATGGATGGATGGATGGATGGATGGATGGATGGATGGATGGATGGATGGATGGATGGATGGATGGATGGATGGATGGATGGATGGATGGATGGATGGATGGATGGATGGATGGATGGATGGATGGATGGATGGATGGATGGATGGATGGATGGATGGATGGATGGATGGATGGATGGATGGATGGATGGATGGATGGATGGATGGATGGATGGATGGATGGATGGATGGATGGATGGATGGATGGATGGATGGATGGATGGATGGATGGATGGATGGATGGATGGATGGATGGATGGATGGATGGGAGGATGGATGGGTGGATGGATGGATGGATGGATGGATGGATGGATGGATGGATGGATGATTGGATGGATGGATGGGTGGATGGATAGATGGGTGAAAGGATAATTAGATGGATGGACGATTAGATAGATGGATGGAAGCCATATTTTCCAAGGCCCTGAATAAAAGTAGAAAGGAGTTGAGCACGTCCAGTCCCAGGTTCTGTGGTCAGCATGAGGCCACGTCTGCTGTGAGCTCATCTTTGGACCACACCTCCCCTGACCACCATAGACAACAGGGCTCCTACTTTATTTCTCAGTTCTAGTTCCCATTTTGTCCTCTATGAAGATACTTCAAAAGATTTATAGACAGATTTGTATTATCTTTTAATTCTATTTTTCTGTGAACTTAAGAGAATTAAAAAATAATACAAATCTTTCCATGAACTTTTTGGAGACTTAAATGGTTTCTCCTCTTACCTGGATATTCTTTGTAAAATTTATGTCGTAGGAATCGACCATCTGGAAAACAAGTGAGAAGATAAAACTCCAGAAGTTTATAAGTCCAAGACTGTTTTCATAATAATGCTACAGAATTATTTGCGTTTTGACATTCATTCTCCCACGAGTGTACGATGGAATTTTCCAGAGGCTATATGATGTGTAATATCACAGTTGACCAAACGCAGAAGCAGATAGGGGAGTCTCTCTTCTCTTAATTCATGTATTAAAGGACATTGGAGAAAAAAAAAAAAAGTGAAGCAATACCACTCTTCTCACTAGGTTTTTCATCTGGGGAAATATAATTATTTTTAAGAAACAAAAAGTTACTTTTAAGAAAAATAAAAATCTATGGGGTCTCCTCAATATTTTTTTAAGGGTAAAGGGGTCCTGAGACCAAAAAGTTGGGGAACCACTGTCTTCACAGATGAACTGGAAGCAAAATTTCAAATACTGCTCAGCAAATGTCATTACACATCTGTTCACACGGGCAGTCAATGGTACTTTTCTGAGCTCGTTCAAGAGACTTCAAATGAAAAAGTAACTCGAGCATGAATCGTCACTCAACCTCCCTGAGCCTGTCTTCTCACCTGAAAATGGGCATAAGATTAGTAGCTCTTAAAGTTATTGCAAGGATTAAAAGAAGTAATTTAATTTAAGACCAACACATGCAAATATTAGGAGGAACCACACAGAGCTGCTGTTTTCATATGTAAAAGGTGGTCATGGCAGCTTTACGCATTTCCCATTCCTGGCTGTCAGTCACTGACCAGGGCTCCCTCACTGCCCCCCCAGCAGCAGTGATGCAGGCATGGGGCAAGGACACGGTCCTCTCCTTGCATTGAGCTACGTCTCCATCTTGGCGCATCCAGGAGGTTTTCTCTGCTCTAATGTTAATAAATCACATCTCTGCAATAGCTGACTGTTTCGCCCTGTGTTTCGTGGCCATACTAAAAACCATCAGGGTGTTTGGGACCAGCACTGACATTCACCACACAAGGGGATGAGAGCCATGGAGTAGACCACACCCCAGCCTTGGATGGACAGCTTATCAGCAACTGCAGAGATAACCATTTTCCAAAGCTCATGGGGCTTTCCAGGCCAGGGGCTCTCTGCCCCCTGGGGATGAATTCTGTTCCGTAATGGCACAGGGAGTCAGAGGTATGTGTGGACACTGGACACCCTCCTTAGGCCAAATATAATTTATTACCAAAAGTGATCATACAACACTTTTATCAAATTTCCACCTGTTCAAGGCCGCAGAGCCCCACTTTAGTCTCCCCCTGTAGCATCTTGACAAGGACAAAGATGGGCCCAGTCTCCCACATCTTGGCTTCTGAGTGACCTTGAATACACTCAGAAAAATGCACTGATTCCCCCTGACCCCACCCTCTGAAAAATCAGATTTACTGCATGTGAGAATGTTCATTTTCCTGTTGCAGCAGACATGAACCCCTCAAATGTCTGGTACCAGTTGCTGGACTGTGACCCTGGAATGGCCATTGACACCCTCTAGAAGCCTCTTCCAGGGGAGACTTGCATCCTAGGTGTGAGCACAAGGCCTGCCGCTTATTCTCAAATGGGCCAGAAAAATACATATGTAGACCTATGCAGAGTTGCAGGGTGGGGGGAGAAAGAAGGGAGAGGGGACAGTTATGCAGGTCTGACAATATTTTAACAGTTGGTGGATCTAGGTGGAGGGCCTGAGGTACTCTTCTTGCAACTCTTCTACAAGTCTGAAATTATTTCAAATATGCAGTTAAAAAAAGAAAACTGAGATAAAAGACTCTTCCTTGTAAACACTGGAACAAGAGTGCCCAACACCTCCCTCGGAGATTTTTGCTCCAAGGGAAGTTGCTGGAATTCAAGATATTTCCAAACTCTCATATAATTATCAACAAATTACTAACCATCATTGCTAAGCAACAGCACCCTGAGAGCAAGGCTAAGGGGGAATTCCACATGCACTTCCATCTGGAAGGCTCACATCGCTCCTGTGGGAGGGCAAGCACCCACATGGGCTTCGAAGTGGGTGGACAGCCATGGAATTCCAGCTCTGTTCCTCTTTACCGTGCGCAGTGTCTAGGCAAGTTCCCGAACTCAAGTCCTCCCTCTTCCTAAGACAGATAACAGTGCACACATGCACGGAGGACCTACTGTGTGTCAGGTGTTGTGCTTAGCACCTCCCAGGTGTTCTCATAAACAAGCCTCATAACTACCACATGCAGTAATCACTATGGGTACCATCACCATCTCCATTTTATAGATGGAGAAACAGACTGAGAAAGGGTAGTTGACCTGCCCAAAGCCACCCAGGAAGAAAGCTGTAGGCCTGGAGCCGATCTGTGGTTCTGAGCCTGCACTCCTAACCCTGCACAGCACTGGCCCTGGTCACACTTCTCCTTTTGCTGGCTTGTGGCAAAGCTTAATGACAGTGCCTGCAGGTGATCACCCGACGGCAGGCATCGTCAGTGCGGCCATCATTTAATTATCTGCTCTCTTTGCTTAGCCCATCTTTGAAATGAGTCTTTTTTGAACTGGTTTGGCTTACCCTGGTCTTAGAGGTCACATAGCCAGCCGAATGAGAAAGATCAGGGGGTGAGAAAGGCAAAGGAGTTCGAGGCCTTTCCAATGATGTAAATGACATTATAGTCCAAAGAACTTGTAACTCTCCCCATAGCTCTCTTTTGTAAAAGGCTCTCCCTTCCATACTCCACCCGTCTCTGACTTGCTGGCCAGCCCTCAGGGATCTGCATCCAAAGGACCGCACATCCCATCTGCTTACAGAGCGATTTGGTGTCTGGAGACAAGCAATGATGAAATAGCGAAGACTCTGTTCTGTGCTTGTGATGTGACAGACATGGTCTGCTTGGATTAACTCATCTACTCCTTAAAGAGCCCTGAGAAGTAACTCAACTATTATTAGCCCATTTTACAGATAAAGAAAATGAGGCCTGAAAAGGTCAGGTTATTTGCCACACACAGAAGGAACGGGAGGGACCATGGGAACCCAGGCTATCTGGCCAGAGAAACCCTAAACAAAGCCCTACAAATAGCAAGGGGAATGTAGAGGGAACCACAAAGATATCTATTTTGTTCAATTTTTCCAAAATTCAGAATTCCAGGATCCGGGATTCTGCAGATAGTTCTAATGTCTCATAATTTTATTATCTGCAATGATAATGATGTTAAATGTGTAACCGATTTAATGTCTATGCCTTCAGAGAAATAAATTCTCAAATCAGAAAAAAAACATTTTGGCAGATCACACACCCTGATGTATTCCTTTGGCAAACAGGGTCGTGACATCATCAATTTTGACGGAGGGCCTTGTCCTTAGCTATTAGCGCCGAGAGATGCAGCAGTGGGGACCCTTGGGTGTTGGTATCGGTCTGCTTGAGCTCATCTTTGACAAGCAGAACTGGGAGCGCCCTGAAGTCCCAGATCTGGCTTGCCTCACATTTCTTCCCAACTCCACGCCAAAACGCGGCTGCAGCCTCACGGCCTGATGTCTTACGTGCGGCCCAGGCGGGTTTTAGATCCTGCCAGGAGCCATTGTTCTGCTGTCTTTTCTCTCCTTGGTAAAACTGTGCCAACTCAAGCAAGGCCACCCACGCCCTTCATTCATCTATTTATTGCCTTCATCTCCAAGGACAAACACCAATTAAGTCCAACTCAACAGTCCTGGCAGAAGTCCTAGGAAGTTAAGGACTTTAAGACAATTCAAATTCCATGCAGCTTAAAGTAGGTATGTAATGGATATAAAATATCCTATGTTTACTGACCACCTTTAATTGCCTAGCTCTGCCCTCCATCCCCCCAAGGAGACCTCATTGTTATGGAGCAGTGAACCCCTATCGTGATGTTCTGAAAACCAGCCCCAAGCCCCCTCCCTTCCAATTCTCCACCCAGGAAGGAGGCCCCGTTCTTAGCAAAAGTCAAAGCCCTTTTTTTGTACTGGGGATTCCGAGAAGCTGGCCAAGCCCCCAAACATTGCCTCTTCCACATTGGGTGGGGAGGACCACTGAGGGTTGAGCCCATGGTGGAAGGGCCCACACGTGGGGACAGACAGGGCTTTACATGTATGACTTCAATTAATCCCCATAACAGCCTTTTACAGATGAGGAAACTGAGGCTCAGAGATATAAAGAAACTGACCCCAAGGTCACCCAGCTGGGAGGTGCAGAGCTGGGATTCGCTGCTGGTCTGCTGACTCAAGAGCCCATATCACTGCTGGCGTGGCAGGGAAAGGGTGGAGGACATGAAAGAGGGAGCCGGGCAGTGGCAGGATGGGAGGAGTGCTTGCCAGGCTCAGTGGCTGGTTGATGTTCCAGAGGCAGGTCTCTGATGTGGGGACCGTAGGGAGCATGCGGCTGGGACAGGAGCCAGGAGCAGGGCTTGGGGTGCTCTCACTTACCTGCTTGCCGGCGCTGCTTGACGCACTGCCCACGGTTGGGGATGCCCTCGGCCATGTCACCAGGGCTCAAGATGTGGCACTCATAGCCCGAGGGACAGAGCAGCGGCTCTGCCCCGTCCTCAGTGGTGCTGCAAGCCTCTGCTGTGGGGGTTGGGGAGAGACATGCCAGGGTCTCAGAGGGCAGACCCTGGGGAGGGGGCATAGAATGCACCTTGCCCAGAGAGGACACCTCCCGTCTGCACCCCAGATCCCAGGCTGTGCCTTGGGTCTCAGCCACATGTGTGTATACAATGCACACACATGCACACACACACACAGAGGCAGCCCAAAGTCACGTGATCCCAAACATGCCTTCGCATGCATAGTGACAATACATGGTGTGCTCACAGTACAGTCACACACATTTGCGTGCACAAAGATGCACACATATCCGGTGCAGCCACAAGAGCAGCCACGCAGGTGCACGCATGGCTGCAGGCCCTAGCAGACACAGCCACACACACAGAGGCACAGAGTTGTGAGCACAGCTGCTCACATGCCAGGGCGCCAGGGCGCATGCTCACAGCCCACAGTTCTGCAGGCCCAGGCCCGCAGGTCATTCCTGCCAGAAGCTGCTCTCCGCCCCCTATCGCCCCAAGGAGGCCTCATTGTTATGGAGCAGTGACAGCCCAAAGCCCCCTCCCTTCCAATTCTCTGTCCAAGAAGGGGCCCCAGTCTTAGCAAAAGTCAAAGCCCTTTTTTTGTACTGGGGATTTTGAGAAGCTGGCCAAGCCCCCAACCATTGCCCCTTCCATGTTGGGTGGGGAGGACCACTGACGGTTGAGCCCATGGTGGAAGGGCCCACACATGGGGACAGACAGCCTGTTGCCCAGCAGCCGCTGAGAAGGAGGGACCCTGGCTCTGATGTCGGGTCTGGGCCTCACCTTGCAGAACCTCCTCAGGGCCATCCAGGAGCCAGCCGTTGCCACCAAGCCAGCGAGGTTTCGGCTGCACCAGCCAGTCTAAAACTAATGCAATACATGGTCAGATTGAGCCCCGCCCCCACCCTGGGCAGCTGAGAAATGCCCCTGCCTTGTCCCTTCCTTCTAGTGACAGAGCCTTTGTGGGTGGGCCTGGGTGCTGGGCCACCATGCTGGGGATGGTGTGGCTTGCAGTGAGGTGTGGCTGTGTGGCTAAGTTCTGGCCACAGGATGAGTAGAAGAGATCCCGCAACTTCCTTAAATTGATGGCTGCTCCCTCCCTGCCACTTTGGCCATGTGGATGAAGGCACTTCTCAGATTGCAGAGCAGCAGGAGGGAAGGGAGCTGAGGCCTGACCGCAACCTTTGCACTATTCACCAAGATGGAAGTCAGCATCTCACAGGTGGGTCCCTGTATTTATGGGTCTTTTTGTGACAGCAGCATGGCCTGTTCTCTAACCAATACATTTTCAACAGGAGAGTTACCCACACAGTAGACTGGGAGGCCATCAAGAGGCAGGGGCGGAACACTCAAATGCCTCCAGGGGACAGGGAGAAACGCACAGGACGAGGGCAGCTGGGCAGGGCTGTGGCAAACCCGGAGCGCTGCTGCTTAAGTGGATCAGCGCGCGTTTGGCTCCGGCCAGCTGCTCCCAATGTGCCCAGAGCTTCTGGTTTGGGGTTTTTATTCTTTAACTATAAATCTGTATTTTAAAAAACATAAATCTTCTGGTTTTTAAGTGTTGACAACTAATTTAAAAACTTTAAGCACATTGGAGATTGAATAAAACAGTTCTGGGATCAGATTTGTGACCTCTGCTTTAGTTTGATGCCAGGATATGACAAAATAGAGATAAACGTATTTATTTCTACAGAGAAAATAGATAAATTATTATGTAGAACCTTTTAAAGTATGTAGGTGGGTACTGGTAAAAATGCTGGTTAAGGGCCGGCCTGTGGCTCACTCAGGAGAGCGTGGTGCTGATAACACCAAGCCAAGGGTTGAGATCCCCTTACTGTTCATCTTTAAAAAAAAAAAAAATGCTGGTTAGCTTTTTCTTTAAAAGAGCACTAGAACATGATAAACATGGTGGAAGTGAAAACAACAGAGGAATGAAGCAGCAGCTTGTAAGTTCCAAACAGGAACGAAGACTGCAAATACAGCCACTACTTCCAGTCTTCCGGTTCTTCCTCCCCTCCTTCTCTCCACTGCCTTGGACTACATGTTAGAAAATATTTTTCAAATAAGAAATGTCTTAATATGTACTGTTTGTATTCTCTTTTGCATTGATCAAAGGCTTCTGAGCAGCAGGGAAATTTTGCTACATTTTTCAGAATACAGAAACTTAGCCAAGGCCTCTCATCCCTCCAATTGCAGAGCCCAAAGGCCTGGTGGCTCCAGGGTCTCAGCTCTCCACACCCTCGCTGGAACTACCTGGGATCACCTCCCACATAAACGAACTGCAGACTTGAGACCAAGTCCTTGTATCAGAGTCTGCTTTGAAGGGACCCCGACGAAGATGGCAATGAAGTTAGGTAAGGTGCTTAGAACAGAGCCGGGTCGTCTCCTCATGCTGAACCAGTGGTTCTCAATTTGGAGCAATTTTGTCTCCCAGGGAAGATTTAGCAAAGTCTAGAGGCATTTTTGGTGGTCCCAACTTGGGGGATTGGGGGGCTTCTACTGGCATCTAGTGGGTAGAGGTCAGGAATGCTGCTAAACATCCTACAATGCACAGAACCATGTCCCCTGCCCACTCACCAACTACAATTATCCAACCCCAGATGTCAACAGCTCCAAGGCTGAGAAACCTTGTGTTAGATATTATTATTAATATTATAACTATTATTACTAACTAATGGCTTGACTGCTCTTCCTGCTGGCTGATGAATGAATGAACTTGTTCATTCATTCAGTACTTACTGAGTACCTCTTATGTGCCCAGAGACTGTTTTGGGGACACAGCAGTCAAACAGACACAACCCTTGCCCTGTGAGACCGACCTTCAGGTGGGCAGAAAAGTCAATGAACAAAGTAAAACACAGTCTTCTGGATCATGCTGTGGAGAAAACCTCAGCAGGGGAGGAAGGGGGGACTGGCTGGAGGAGGGATTGCCATTTAGAGAGGGAAGTCTTCCCCGCAAAAGTGGCCTCTGTGCAAAGATCTATCTGCAGGAGGTGAGGAAGTGAGCCATGTGGGAGTCTGGGGGAGGATGTTCTGGGCAGTGAGGGACCCCACACGTGGACTCAGGTGTTGGAGCAGGGGCCCCACATTGACACACTCAGGGCCTAAGGCAGTGGACACTTCTCTATAGTCAGACAACTGGATTGCAACTGCAGCTCTGCTCACTGTGTGACCTTGGGCAAGTGACTCGCCTTCTCTGAGTTTCAGTGTCTTCAACTATAAAATAGGGCTGAAAACAGTCTCCACTCCATGGAGCCCCATAAGCATGGAATGAGATGATGTGTGGAAAGGCTATTAGGAATGCCATGTACAGCTGCATAGTTTGTGCACTGCTCAAAAGCACTTGGCCTAGCCATTAAGTGAGGCTAGAGTCCCTATGCCTGGCTGCATTCCAGAGGAAGGGGCACCTTTTCTGATTTGCGAACCCAGAGGGAGTGCCTTTATGTGCTTTTCCAGCAGGAGAGGGTGTCCTTTTGTCCTTCTTATGAAGGCTGGGTAGGAGGCAGCCTGGCTGTGAGCACCCACCCAGTCCTTGCCCAGAGGCAGCACCCAAACAGCTGAGGACTGTAATTATGAGCATCCTTAAGTGTGCTGAGTCCCTTGAACTCACTGTGACCTCACCCCAAAGAAAACAAAGCGTGGTCGTTCTTGACTTCTCCAACTTGCCTCCCTGCCTTGGGAGAAGGGGTTGGGGGCACCTCAAAGCCATCTTCAGTAATTAAGGCCCATGGGAACCTGCAGCCTCTCGCAGAAAGGTGTGGTATACACAGCTTTGGCTTGGTCCTGAGCAGAAATGAGGAAACGATTGCCCCATCCTACCCACCTAGGGGCACATCTTCCCCACCCAGGAAATAGCTTCCTGTCCCCCCCCCATTTTGTGTTCCCCATGGGCTCCCTCCCTCCCCACCCAAACCTTATCTCCAAAAGCAATGTGAAACTTCTTCCCACCAAAGAAAAATCCCTGAGGATTGTTTCTCTCCATGAGATTTGCATCATGATTCAAGAAACATCTTATTGTCTGCTCCTAGTCTGATGTGGCACAGAGCCCCTCCAATTCAGACTATTCATGAGCTGCCCGCTTTCTCCTCAGCCCATTTTACAGGCGAGGAGCCCAAAGGAAGCTAGTGGATTTGAACCCAGGACTCTGCACACACACACACACACACACACACACACACACACACACACACACTCTCTCTCTCTCTCTCTCTCTCTCTCTCTCCCCCCCCCCTCGGGCACTTCCCATCTGGATTTCTAAGCACCCAGTCTCCACTTTAAACACCCCCAGAGCCAGGCATCAAGAGTGGCGGGCCCGGTGGGGTCAGTGGAAAACTAGAGGGCCCCACCCATCCAGGGACACCTGAGGCTCCAGCCAATCGCAGCCCAGGAAATGTGGTCTGATATTTTTAAGAAAAGCCTGAACTCTGGATTTTTTAAATGAGAAATCTCTCCCCACCTGCACCCTCATAGCAGGTGGCATTTTCCCTGGAATGGGTGTCTTCTGGAATGCAGGCTCCCTGAGGGCAGTCGGGTGCCTGCCCCAGCCCATCCTCATGGCAGGTGGCATTTTCCCTGGAATGGGTGTCTCCTGGAATTCCAGCTCCCTGAGGGCAGGTGGAATGCCCCGCACCAGCAGGTGCTCAGTGCGCACAGCCGTGCACCTGCTCAGTGAGCCCCACGTTCCCATTTCACAGGTGAGGCGATGGAGGCCCGAGGGCTGAAGTGACCCGCCCAGGTGGCCCAGTTTAAGCGCAGCTCCTTTCCTCCCAGTCCGGCTCTCCCCCCACCTCTGGGTGGCTCAGTTCACCCGCTGTCCCTCCCGCGGCCCGGGGCCTACCTGGCGGGGGCGGCACGGCCTCCAGGCAGGCGTAGGCGCAGCCGTTGTAGCAGCAGCGCCGGTGGCGCGGGCACTCGGAGTCGGCCTGGCA